GCCAAATTTCGAAGTGGATCAAAAGTTATTTCTCTACTTATGTACTTAGCAAGAACACCTCTACCACTACACCACACACCCATTTCTGATTATATATAATATGTTATCTTTTTATATCAATATTTTGTAATCTTATATTAGATATTTTAGCTACTAAATGAACCCAAATAAAAAAAATTGTTAACTATAAAGTTTTAAATCTTATCAAGTACTACAACTTTGGTATAGGATGTATCTCCATCCGAGATTGTTTCAAAAATTCAAAAAATTGAATATCAAAATATTTGAATTTAAAACATTTGAGACACTAAACGACTTCAAATAATAAACTTGTCAACAACAAACATATAGCTCAGGTCGGCCACTACCACTTTGGTATTAACTATGTGAACATTCAAGATCATTTAGGAAATCTAAATTTTAAATTTCAAAAGCTATAAACTTAGAACACATATTTGGACACCAAATGACTTCAAATAAAAAACTTTTCAACTATAAAGTTTTAGATCGTATTGAGAACTATAACTTTTATATAGAACATGTCAACATCCGAGGTTGGTTGATAATTTTAAATTTCAAATTTCAAAATCTATGAAATTATAAAAATATTTTGGGGCCCTAAACAGTTTTAATTAAAAAAATACTAAAAACTTATAGTTCCTGTCGAGAGCTACAATTTTAATATAAAGTTTGTCTTCATCCGAGTTCATATGAAAAAGTTAAGAATTATTTTTTGATGCAACCATTTATAGAGGCGGACATCTTAAGACGTCGGCCTCCGTAAATCGATTTTAGGAGGCAGACGCTTAGAGTGGCTGCCTCAGAAAATAATTGATTAACGGAGGCAGACGTCTTAAGTTGCCCGCCCGCGAAAATCAATTTACGGAGGCGGACGTCTTAAGACCACCGCCTCCGTTAATCGATGATTTTCGGAGACGGTCGTCTTAGGATACCCGTCTCCGTAAATGATTTTCGGAAGCAGGCATTTTCCTGGTGCCACACTAACCATTAACAGAGAGGAGGTGCCCGCCTCCGTTAATGGTAAGGCAGTGTCTCGCAAAATCATTTGTGTAGTAGTGATAGGTGGTATCCATATTAACTAGTAAATATATGGAAACTATCCTATAGTTTCTAGGTTGCGACTGCCGTAAGCACCTTTGAAAACACTAGGAAGAAATACAAATAAGATTCAAATAATTCCAAACCTTGCACTAGTAGACACATGATACTTTCCGAAAAAAATTGGTACTAGTTTTATATTTTTCTGATTTAATATGAATTAATTATGAAATTTTAGAAAATAATCCAGTTTGATTACTTTTAGAAAATTCAAAATTACCATGGAGACCTACTAGATGGCAAAAAGTTGTCCGATATTTGATAGTTTGGTGGCCAAATTTTCTACGTTCAGAGTTGCATGGCCAAAAGCAATTTATCTTAGGCAACAGTTGGATGGCCAAAATTAGAATTCTCCATATTTTATATGATAAGATATATAGCTTTGACGAGAGTGAATCACACTAGTACATAAAGTGTTGGTGCCAGTATAGAAAGATATGTATGGGCCCATAGCTATGACCTGCCAGTGGAGATATATCTACATTGGCAGAGTCCGTATGGGTGTGCGACAGCTATGGACTGCCCTAGCCGGGCTGACTGTTTTAGAGCTTCGTCATCATTGATCCACCGATCATGCGGCAGCAACCAAGAACGAGGAGAAGAAGTACATGGGAAAAAAGAGGATAAAAGTTGTAGTAGATGTGTTTTGTCGATTATGTAGTTAGATTACCACAATCAACCATGATCCTCTAATAAATATACAGAGATGGTCTTATCACAGTATAAAATATCTCCCAAAACGAAATCTACAAGTTTTCCACGACACTGGGTAAGTTTCCATCGAGTAAGATTCAACTCGGGCTTGGACAAGGAAAACCAGCTTAGCCAATTTTTTCAGGTCTAGAACAATGTTTTCCGAAAATTATAATTTATTCAATGAGACTTAAAATTAGGCAATCTATATGTGTTTCTTGATCAGCTCGACAAGATAAATGCAATGGTGCAATCCATTCTTCAATTTGAAGAAGTAAAAAAATCAGACTCCAAACTTGATGATTCATATATTCTTTCCATCGTCTCGATGAGAGAAATACAATGGTGGAGTGCATTATGCAATTTAACAAAGTGCCAAAATCGGCTTAGCCAGTTTTGGAAACCGGCTAAGCCTGTTTCTGCTAGAAATTCTAGGTTCAGCCTCTCTTGACACTTTTGGCTGTCAACATATGCCCCCAATTTTCAGGTGTTGTTTATATAAATATGAAAACACATAAAACCAAATAGCAACGATGTCCAACTCATTGGCTATTTATAAATTAAGGGTGATGCATGCATCGGTCACTTTTTGTTCTATGGTTGATATTGTATATCGGTGACACCTGTGTCCGCTTAACTTTTTTAATGGCGCGTATTAAATTGTAAACTTTTATAATGGCACACGGGAAAAAGACTCAAGGGCTGAAGGCCGGCAGGGCATTGTGCCGTGATGGTAAAGCCCGTGGTGAATATGCATGTGAAGGAGAAAATATGTCATGAGAACTCATGCAGCGCTGCACCCAGCTTATCAAGTAGGGAATCTACTCAACTCGTTGACTAGCTACAAGCTGCATTTTACTAAATAAATGTACGTGAAATAAAGGTTATGTCAAGTATTTTCTGCAATATGTCCTAGCTATACCCAACATGTAGGCATTTGTCGTTTCCTTCTTCATTTTGTCAGCTACGCATATCAAACATAGGAGTTTTGCTTGTACCTGTGGTGTAACACTTCTTATACCGAGCTCCGGTATGCTAATGTTGTATTTTTCATTCGAAATGGAGAGCCAGATTGGCTCATATATAATCTTTTCAGCACCATAATTCGGATATGAATGGACTCCTGGCGTCTTGCTGCGTATGCTTGCTCCGCATATTGCTGGATTCAGTCTGATTTATTGGGACCCCTAGTCCATTTATTTACGAGCCTGTAGCCAATTTCGAAAATATAGTTGCACCTCAAAGTGTCACGCTTGATGAGAACTTAAAATTGGCAAATGTTTTCAGAAATCTTGCTGAACTTCATTTTTTATTTTTAACCTTCTTTTGATAAATATTTTAATATTAACCTTGTTTGCAAAGATTTGCACATCTTACCCTTTTGGTCACAACAGGAACACTCTCTCACGCCACATGCACTATAGCACTATCGGGACATCCACCGTGGCACCAACTAGCGACTAGGGCCAACATGGCGTTCTGGTAGGGGCCCGCCGTGCCGTGCCAACCCATCTAGCGCGACAGTCCTTGTCACGCAACCCCTCTTGGCACGACGAGAACTAATATACAGGCCGTGCCAATCCTCTTCTTCCTCCTCTTCTCTTTTCTCCCTCTCCTTCCAAGTTGTCCCCAACCCCAGCCCACCGCCGCCCAGCCGTTTTTGCGTCGATTGCAGCCACTGGAGTCCCCAATTTGGACAGGTATAAGTCGCAGTTCCCACATCCCATTCAAGGTATATCTCGAAGAAATCTTGTATTTAACTTGTGTATTTGGTGGCTATAGGTTGGTTAGGGTTTCATATTTGATTCAGTGTAGTTGCGTTATTTGTTTGTTTTGTTGGATCGGATGCATAGTTGAAGGCGTAGTTGAGGTTCTGCCCGCGAATTTTGTTGTGTGAATTTGTTTCCGCATCAGGATAACATTATTCTAGTTTCATGTAGATTTTGTTCTGGTTTCATGAGACAGTGTTCGAAATTATAACAAAAATGTTTTGGACACACAGGAACACTGTTTAAAAAAATGTTTGGCGTGATATAAAATATTCATATTTTGTCCCCAAAATAATTAGAGTCGTACAGTTTATAAACATATAAAAGAATTCAAGAAAAACGATCAAATTACGTTCTAGGGACAACAAAATTGTTGTTATGGAATTTGAACTAAAAACTAGTGTAACTAAAATATTGTAGGAATAGCTTAACATACACTAGAAATGAAAAACCAAAGGAGAAGTCAAATAAGGTGAGACAAAAGAAATGAAGGTGCAAATAATAGGAGACAAAAGCACTTAAGGAAAAAAGGTAGTGGGCCAAAATGTGCTACCGAACTTACATTCAAAAAAAAATGCACTACCGAACAGTACTAGCAAAAATATGTAGTCCTACATGGGCTGCGCAATATTAATCCAGGAGCTCGGAAGCCCAAGACAAGAGTGAAAATCAGCCCACGTGGCCATATAGCAGTCCTGGACTCCACGCGACGACGTGCACGTGTCTGAAATCTTTTGCCCCAATTCATTTACCAAGCAACCACGTGCACGATTCATGTTTGCAGAAAATTGAAGATAGCTAGTCCTTACCACTCGTTTCCAACCAGCCTATTGGGACTTCCTTCACTCTATAATCTATATACAACAATTTTGTGGCTACATGTCTATACGTTATATATATAAGGAACTAACTAGAATAAGGTTCTATTTGGTGCGGCCCGCGATAGTTTTTTCCTCCAGCTCGAAGACGGAGCTGCCCTAAATAGTCTTGTGTGGAGGAGCGCTTTTAGCCAGCAAAACACGGAATCGGAGCTGTTTTTGCATATGAACATAGAGCCGAAGCTGTTTTCCCGTATGGATACGGAGTGGGGAAAACTGGCCCCACGTGAAGTGCTCTGGCTCGGGCTTCCGCGTGTGGAGGAGCCGTACCACAGGCACTAATTTTATTTCTCCATCCAAGCAGTTACCATGAAGCAGCAGCAATTTTTGGCATGCTCAAGAATTGCAGTATGTAGAGACCGTAAAAATTCTCTTGTGGAGTGACTGCGACGCCGACCAGCTCAGTCAACGCGTCGCCCGGTCTCCTTCAAACCATGTGAAGATCCTGCTCCTCGTGAACTGATGGATGGTTATGAGGTCTCATTAATTTGAGTCCTGGCACAAGGCAAACACCAGGGATTTTGAAGCCTGCTGTTATCATCTATATGTCACCGATCTTGGTGATGGGCATCGTGTTGCCATCCGCAGCCCTGATCCTCATCCCTGCCGACGCGTCGTGGAGGTTGGAAAGGAGTCTGGGGTCACCCACCATGTGGACACTCCGGTCTGGGGTCACCCAGCATGATAGCATTTTCCGCGGCGGTTGGTAACTCCAGGCGTTTCTATAGAGCCAGTTGTCGAGGCAGCTGGATAGCGAGCCGCCTCGAAAGATGTACCTACAGAGGTGGACTGTTTCATAGGGCACTAGCCGCTTCTATAGTAAAAGTAGTCCTGTTCCTAAAAAAAATGTTTTTGTGGTAGTGTGTGGAGGACGGTGACGGTGAAGGGCTACCGCATCGGCTTTTCCTCTAGCTCCGCAGACGGAGCTGCCCTAAATAGTCTTGTGTGGAGGAGCGCTTTTAGCCAGCAAAACATGAAATCGGAGTTGTTTTTGCATATGGACATAGAGCCGAAGCTATTTTCGCGTATGGATACGGAGTGTGGAAAACTGGCCTCATGTGAAGTGCTCTGGCTCCGGCTCCCGCGTGTGGAGGAGCCGCACCACACAGGCACCAATTTTATTTCTCCATCCAAGCAGTTACCTTGAAGCAGCAGCAATTTTTGGCATGCTCAAGAATTGCAGTATGTAGAGACCATAAAAATTCTCTTGTGGAGTGACTGCGATGCCGACCAGCTCGGTCCCCGCGTACAGCATCGCCCGGTCTCCTTCAAACCATGTGCAGATCCTGCTCCTCATGAACTGATGGACGCTTATGAGGTCTAATTTGAGTCCTGGCACAAGGCAAACACCTGGGTTTCTGATGTCTGCTGTTATCATCTGTATGTCGCCGATCTTGGTGATGGGCATCGTGTTGCCATCCGCCGCCCTGATCCTCATCCCTGCCGGCACGTCGTGGAGGTTGGAAAGGAGTCTGGGGTCACCCACCATGTGGACACTCTGGTCTGGGGTCACCCACCAGGATAGTATTTTCAGCGACGATTGTTAACTCTAGGCGCCTCTATAGAGCCAGTTGTCGAGGCGGCTGGATAGCGAGTGGCCTCTGAAGATGTACTTACAGAGGCAGACTGTTTCATAGGGCACTAGCCGCCTCTATAGTAAAAGTAGTCCTGTTCCTAAAAATCGTTTTTCTGGTAGTGTGATGGAGGACGGTGACGGTGAAGGGCGAGGCAGGGCAACGTGCTGTGCGGCAGCACTGCAGCACAGATCAGGGAGGTGCGACTGCGAGGGGAGAGGGTCCGGGCAGGGCAACAAGCTGGCTGCGTGGGGGTGGCGACGGCGGCGTGGGAGGAGGCAGGGGACGGAGACCACGGCCGCCTTGGCGACGACGCCATTCTCAGCGGGAGCGGCGCCCTCGCGGCCGGCGTCCACCATCGCGGAGCCTAGATCCGGCCCAGATCGTGGTCGTGCCTCCCGCAGCCATTGCCGGCACGTCCCAACCACCTACCCACCATAGGCGGCGGCATGATGGAACAGGGGCGGGGCCGCAGCCTCGACGAGGTAGGGGCGGGAACAATATAGCTGGCCGGCTGATTAAGGTGGGCTCATGGGTGGCATTTGCTGAGGTCTGATCGATGTGGAGCGCTATGGGGCTGGCATTTTCTAAGAAGTGTTTGCGTGGGGCCTTAGTTGGAGTGGCATTTGGCGAGAAATTTTTACTGCAGCCAAATGGACAGAATCATTTGACGCTTTTTAGTTGTAGAGATTCTTGATAGAGATTTTTTATAGATATATTAGTTAAATTTAAGATCATTTAACTCGTCGTCAAGCGAGATTTCTATTCTTTTGTAGATGCAACAGTACCTCACAGGGGATCTGTAAGCCTGTAATGCGGCCTGCTGCCGTCTGCCGCGCACGGCGCCATGGCTGCTGCTGCTGTGCTGAGCCACGCCCCTACAGTCGTCAATCAGTCAATTGCTAGCCTGAGTTGCGGCGTGCACACGCGTCATGGGCGCCTGCCAAAAGACCAAACAGCTTTGGTCTGCTCTGGTATAGGCTGTGATTGTGCACAATCTTTTTTTTGAGAACCTGTTTGTTTTGATTGAGCACGTACAATCTGTTTATTGCAAAGAAGCTGGTCAAAAGCCAATTCCGCCTATTCTTGTTTTCTCATCTCATTCTTCGAATCTTCTGTCTTACTAGTAGCAAGGTGTTGCAGAATCATGCAATTTGGCACAAGTTCTATCTAGAGAATTTCTTGAAAAAAGCTGTAGGCGACGAACTGGTTAGTCATTGATTGATTATTAGAGACAAAGGACAGCTCAGAGGTGAGCTGTATGTGGCTCGGTTTAACAGGGCAGCTACACTCCTTAGTGCTGGAAGCACAGAGCAGAGCAGGGCTTATATATATACCAGCCTAGACGATTATCAGGGATCCTAGTCAATGTTTTAAATAGCCGGCTAAGGCATTTAGCTTTCTACATCCCAAAACAGGCTATAGCCAACTATAGCGGGCTATAGCGGCAGCTAGGAGCTAACTTGTACATGAAAAAACTTAGCTAAATCTTTCTTAAAGAGCTATAGCCGGAGATAGCGGAAGCTATAGCCGGAGATTTAAAACCTTGATCCTAGTCCACGCAATTGCACAAGAGTTCAAGCTAGTTCTTCCCAAAGATAGCTAAGGACACAAATATATTTATTACCTGCAAATATGTATATGGTAGGATTACGATCAGACTATGCACGGTGCATACACATGATGCAGTCCGTCCCGGTTATGAGCGAGGCCAAGGGCAAAGAGGAAGATCCAGCTCATCCTTCATGGGCTGCGTCTGCTCTGTGTAGTCTCCCCCTCCCCAAGGCAAGTCTGCGTCGATCTGCTACGAACGGAAGCATGTCCTCCAGCGGCGGCTGTGGACGGCTGCTCCATGGTGACCTGCGCCAGCTCCGCCGTGCTTGCCAAGCTCCCGTCAAGGTCCCGGTCCCAGTCACTCCCGGCCGTGCTATACACAGAGTTGCGTGAACGCTAGTCTCGCGGCAACCGCCAATCCGATGACAGAGGACAGTACGACGCCGACGGTACTGTCCTGTGTGAATTCCGTGTCACCGAGATGAGGGACCTTGATCGTCGACGTCGAGTTCCATGTGTGAACCTGTAGGAGCTGCCCCATGGAGGGAAAAAGGCCTAGCAGTGCGTATTGAGCTCTGATGGTGACCTTCTTGCTGGCCGTTGCCACAGAGGAGTTGTCTGCTGGCTCTATGCCAATTTGTACTCAGATGATGTCGCCAAGATACAACAGAGTGCCATTATCTCGCGCTGTGCCGATCTCGGCAGAGAGGCGGCTGCCACCACTGTCGGTGGATGATGAGGGGCTGGAGGAGCTGGAGGGGCCAAGAACCTGCCAATTGGGTGGGGTGAAAATGCCCCACGTGTCGGATGGGTCGTACAAAGGCTCGATGGCGAACACCAGGCTGCAGCCACCATTTGCTGCTTTCATCTGGTTGTTTGGCTGGTAGATGCTCATGGTGAAGACGACGCTGCAGGACGCTTCATCAGGTCTATCATCGTACGTGTGTTGGCGAAGAACAATATATTGCCGGACGAAGAACCAACCTTTCTGGGACAGGTCGAAAGACGGATAATTGGTCTTCATGTAGGAGCCTAGGCCACGGCAATCCACCCTCTCCCAATCTGTTCTGCAGGAACTCATGTTGGTGAGGAACAGGTGGCCGGGCAGTTGGTCGAAGGCGCCGCTCACGGTGAGGTTGCTCGCGGGATCCTGTCGGGAGCCGAAGCAAGTGCAGGATATGGGGTGGGAACGAGAGAGCAGCAAGCATACGAGGAGCAGGACGGTGGATGGCCGCCATGGCACAGCAGATGGAGGCCTATTATGAAGCTGGAGGGCCGCCATGGCCATGTATGTCGTTGGCCTGCTCAACGATCGATGGTTCCTGATGAGCTCTGTCTGTGTGGTGGAGATTCGGATGATCGGAATGGAGTATATATGAGAACCTAATTAATCAGAGTAGTAGTAATTAATACTACAGTACTGTCTTGTCAACACGCGTTTTTGGTCAAAGAAAACAGGAAGATATTTGGACAAGCCGTGAACGGCTCAACGCAGCTGCACTACTGGTTGTACTGGTCGACTCCTATACAAGTACAATATTTTCCACGGATATTTTCTTCCATCTCTCAAAAGGCAGCATCGATTGATCGATACATGTATGCAATTAACTTGGTGCCTATCTTTTTCAAGCGAGCATGGTTCTGTACACTGGCATGAACCGAGGATTGAAAAAAGTTCACTCATTTCAGCGTCGATTTTTCGTCACGTTGTAGCTAGTCTCACAGGTCACTAGTGAACCTATCAATAGGCTTCACGAAAGAATATCATGGGTCCTACTGCCCAAAACAACTACTCCCTCTGTCCACAAAAGAATGTAATTATGGGATCCGTGTCGGTAAAATTAGCTCAAGTTTGATAAAATTTATAGTAAATACTATTAACTTATGTCTCTAAATAAATTTATTATGAAAATATATTCTAGATCTAATTTAATGGTACTTATTTTGTATCATGAATGTTAGTACTTTTTTTATATAACTTTAGTCAAAGTTCAAACTAGTTGACTCGCTAGTAGAGAACAGACCTTCGGTTTTTACCTTCAGTCCCGACCAGAGTTGAGCTAGGGACTAATATGAGCATTAGTCCCGGGTCCAACGGCTAGCGCCACACTCGGGCGCAGGAAGAACCTTTAGTCCCGGTTGGTGGCTCTAACCGGGACTAAAGGTCCCTAGCCATTGGACCTGAGGTATTTAGTCCTGGTTGGTGGCTCCAACTGGGACTAAAGAGTGACCTGTGGTCCCGGTTGGAGCCACCAACTGGAACTAGTGGTCCCACGCTATATATATCCACTTAGCTTTCTTTCTCCCCCGGCCCGAGCCATTTGAACCTCTTTATTCTTGCTCTATGTTCTTGCTTGTGGAATGAGTTCATGCTCGGGGGATTTGTGAAGACTTTATTTCTCCATCCATTCTAGGGTTCTAAAGGTTAGCAACTTCATTCTCTTATGTTTCATTGCTAGTACAGCTCATTTCATGGTTTACAAATAGAGAAATTTGTAGTTTTTTAGATTGAGAATAATGGTGGATATTTTTTATTTATACGCCATTTGAGCTCAAATTTACTTGATAGTTTGCATATGTAGAAGAACAAAGCTTATAGTAGTTGATCAAAATGAGTATCCACATTTCATTTCTAATATAGCTCATTTCATGGTTTAGAAATAGAGAAATTTGAGGTTTTTTAGATTAGGAATAATGGTGGATTTTTTTTATTTATACACCATTTGAACTCAAATTTACTTGATAGTTTGCATATGTAGAAGAAGAAAGCTTATAGTAGTTGATCAAAATGAGTATCCACCTTTGATTGCTTGTATAGCTCATTTCATGGTTTACAAAAGGAAAAATTTATAGTAGTTGATAAAAATGAGTATAGAGTAGATGGCGACTACTTTCGGGTCCTTGGCCTCGTATGGGGTTCGTGAGCGACTGCGGCCAGACCTCCCTCTCATTGCATGTGGTGAGTGTAACCAGAATACTATGTTGGAGTATAGAGTAAAGAAGGAGGGTCCCAACCAGGGCCGCATCTTCTATAAGTGTCCAGATCGCAATGTGAGTTCTTTTGGACGCGTTTTTTATGGTTTGTAGCATTTTTTGTGATGATTTTGATTAAAGTTCTTGATTTGGTTTTCTAATTTCAGTGGGATGGTACTAGATGTAAAGGTTGGTACTGGGAGGAAAAGTATGTTAAGCACGTACAAAAATAGGCTGAGACGGCCGGTGAGAGTGCACTTGTACATGAAGAGATGAACCAGTAGAAGAAGCCAATCGATGAAGAATTGACAAAGAATTTGTCTGTTTGAGTTGGAATTGGTCGCGAAATGCTTATTCTGTTGAAGTGCATTGTAAGTTTTGTTTGTTT